GCCCCAAATTTACGACAACCTCTATTTCTTTTTTATAAACCTCTTCGAGGCGACGACTTTCAAGTTGATCGTTAGCCATCCGCGTAATAGTGTCCGCTAACTGGTTGAATCGGCGACTAGATTCGTCCAATGCAGTCTGCCATGCCCGATTCGTAGACTCTACAGCCTCGTTAGCCGAAGCAAGTCCCCTTGAAGATCGCAACAACTGGGTTTGAATTGCTCGTAGCCAACTGACAACAAGACTGCTGCTGGCAGCGATGCCGTGTGCAGAAGTTTTACCGGTACAAGTAGGGGCCGGGAAAATGTCAACCTCGGCAGAATCCGTCAAATTAGGCTTAGCCATAAGAAATGTCGACTTAGTAGGCTGAAAAAGGAACGAAAAGGAAATTAAGCTGTTATTAGTTCCATCTATTTTTTAGAATGGGTTGGTAAAAAACAAAATCTGAATATGGAAAATTTTGCAGGAAAGATCCATTGATAGCGAGGACTTGCGGTTTAGGATAAATGGTAATAAAAATAAGAGAAAGTACAACTCACGAGATCCTCAGTGGCAGCCTGTCTATGAAAAGACGTCGGCGGATTTTCTTGTTCGAGTTTAGAATAACCTGACGAGGAGACAGCAGAAGCAATCAGGTCAAGGATGTCATGTTCAGAAAGTCGATCCGACATTTCATTTACACGAAGCTACAGTGAGAAATATATATTGAAATCACCAAGATCAAGCATAAAATGATGTGTAATAAATAAGAATACACATAAACGTAGTAAAGCGAAGATCAACATAGGTACCATGATGTATTGATGCGGGCTCCCGTCAAAACGATAAAATATTGGACAAATGAAAGCAAAAAGCAGTAACCACTCACTAATGTCATTCGAAATACGTCCAACTCAGCACGTGCAGATCGGCCTTCTTGCAATTCTGCTAGAAGTAGATTGTTCTCGGAACGCAGTTCTTTTACACGAGAATTGAGTCTGTCCAAAATTTGTCTGTCAAAGAAATTCAGAATAAATTCTTTAAGTCAGCGGTGAGCAGTAGCAATGTCAATAAAACAGGTAATAAATAAGAGTGATGGTTCGACCTTGTTTCCGCAACTTAGTCAGGGATACCCTGTGGAACGTACCTAGTCCCGCGTCCCCTGCCATAGTAGTCGTGATTTCCAGCATTGGCTGGATATATTCCCAAACTATAAATCCTCGAAAATGACGTAATCGAGGACGGGAAATGAATGCTCTTAAGCAGCCAGATTTCAGATAGCCGAACAGTGATTTTAATGTTTAGCAGCAACCAATTGATAAACGGGTGGGAAAAAAAGGGGGGGCAGAATGTAGACCAGGAGCCTTGCAAACGGCATCTGGAACCGGTGGTGGAGATGATTACACTTCACTAAGCCCACTTGTAGCGGCATAATCTTAGGAAACATTGGAGGAAGTAAGAGCACAGAATTTTATGAACAAGTGGATGACCATAGTAAGTGGGATTGAAAGAAATAGATGCGGCACTAGAAGGCAGAACAAAAAATAGAAGCGAGGAGTTATACCACAACGGTTGAACAAAAAATTGGTCAAGGGAATTGCCTTCAATTGTCACTGATAAGTTGTAACTCTGTGCTTACGATGGTGCCTCTCACTAACGATGCCGGCGAAGCGTTTGGGAATGCGCCCAGTCAAAGGTCAAATGCTGGATATCATAAATACTATGACAAAGGACACAGGACTATGAACGTACCAAAAGGTCTCCTTGACGCTCCGACCAAGTTGTGAAAACAAGATCGAACAACCTCTATACAACAAAAGAAGACTGCGACCAAACAAAAGACCGTACTATCTTCATAGCATCAAGAATAAGGCAAATTAAATGGCTGATTCAGGATACTGGCTAAAGTCAAAGAATATAGACATTTCCCAGTCAAAGAAACAAATAAGTCAATAATTCAGAGAGACTATGATCATATCCTGAACATGCAGAATTTCAAAAAAAAGATGCATAAGACTCAGGAGATAATTGCACTTTAAATTTAATATTTTCATTATGTATGGGATGCTATGGAGGAGGCACTATAGTGGTGTAAAGTCAAAGTAAATTAAAAATATGGCCAAGATTTCAACTCAGCACAGGACTATAGTTAATGGTAATTGATA